AGAGAGAGAGAGAGAGAGAGAGAGAGAGAGAGAGAGAGAGAGAGAGAGAGAGAGAGAGAGAGAGAGAGAGAGAGATTTTATACACGGTGTCTCGATGAGTTTTAAAAACAATAGTTCCGGGTTAGCGGAAAAGCAAAGTCTTAGGCCAAAAAGAGCATAAAATAAATGAACAAAAACAGAAAGGAACAAACAAAACAAAAATAAATCAAAGAAAAAGGGAGAAAGATAAAAAAGCTAGTAAGTAGCAACCAATCCAGCACCGAGGTTTGGGGCAAGGGCAAGTATTTGAGAACTCCACTCCACATATAAGCGAACCACGCGTACTAATAGAGTACAGAATTTCATGTAATGAGTTTTTTTCTTATACATACTGTTTTGTTATTATTCTCAATACGGTGTTTCAAACATGCCTACAGCTTACAGATTTGCATATCTCAATCTGTCAGCTTACAGATTTGTGTCTCAATCCTTCTCTTCCACATCGTACCATTATTGTTTCGATACGGTATTTCAAACACGCATAATTATAGCCTTAAGATTGACATGTCTCTACTTACATATTATACTACTATATTCTCAATACGGTATTTCAAACACGCATAATATTGAGTACAGTTTTTCTTGTTTTATGTTTTATCTTTTGCTCACTTTTATATTCTTAACAATATATACGGTATTTCAAACACGCACATTGCGTAAATATTTACATATATTTAATTTTCTATTACTATTAAATATACTATTTTATACCATACTTGGAGCTGTTTTAGCATTGCACTTCCGGTAAAATATATCCTTATATTTCACGTGTGAAACATAGGCTAGCTAAGCTGAAATCTCACACGTGAAATATAAAAATTTGCATAAATTACTCCGCGCACTAGATCTATATTCGCCTTCTACTTCCATCCCTCTGTATAGGCTAAGCAAAGTAGCCTAGATCTAGATGTAGATCTACTTGAAACTTACAAACTTCGCAGCAAAGCGCGCCCAACGTGGGCAACCAAACACTTCTCCCAGTCTCGCTGTCCCTTATACTACTATAGGTGCAAATCTTTCAACGTTGCTCTTAATTTTGTTTCAAATAGAGTCAAATGATGGGCACAGTAATGAACCGGGATTACGCCAGAGTATGGTGCTGTTACGTTCGGTTATGATATTATTATTGTCATAATGTCTCAACGCGATGGAATCAGGCGCCAGTCAATTTTGGGGGGCATATATATACTTATATCATTAAAGCTTGATCATTTGTCTTGCTTGAGATGAAAATACAACCCAGCTATAATGAATAGAAGTAGAGAAATTACGATTGTGGGAGGTGGGGGTCGTCTGATTTCAGAGGAAAAACCAGCGAGAAAATGGCTGCCAAAAGTGTATTAACTTCCAAAGCTTTATGACTCCTTAGAAACTGCTTTAATGAACTTTTTGTGTTCTTTCGATCAATGTTTTCCAGTCAAATCTGCAAATAAATTATGTATTTTAAAATATACAAAGAAGGAGGAGAGACTTTATTTTAAAAGAAAGAAATTTTGGGAAAAATTACCCAACAGCCAAAAATAAAAGCCGGTTTTCTTCATTACATTATTTTGACCAGCGCCTGATTCCACCATGCGACCCCCCATAATATGTCTGATACAGCTTAAAGAATCAATAGGCTACAGGAAAACCTTATAACAGGACTTTGAAGAAAGTGGCGATATGCTCAAAGAGAAAGGGGATGTTATTTGTGAGTGTGGGTTTTTTTTTTTTTTTTTTTTTTTGGGGGGGGGGGGGGGGGTGTCATAGTATCTAAAGTGTGAAAAGGTACCAGTGACAGATGACAGAAGAGCTGAAAGAAAATAATGTGTCGAAGAGAAAAGGAAGGGGGAAAAGTGGTTGGAGCCGGTTTCAGAATACCTGAAGTATGAAAAAGTAAGAATAAATGGTCACTTTTAAGGACAAGTGGGCTACCCCCCAAAAATGCCGTTTTGGGAAAATAGAAGGTAAAGTTTTTGCCCCTTGTTCAGTTTCATTAAAAGACAAGCAGAGTTTTCACTATATCCAAACAAATGTACACACCAATGAAACCAAACTTCTCCTATAGGTAGGACAAAGACCATTTTTTTTGGTAGGTTAAGATTTCTGGAGACCTCCAAAATCTGGGTTAGCCCGTTTGTCCTTTAAAGCTACCAAATTTTAGCTGCGAGTTTTGGTGTATGAGGCAAAACAACAGGTTGCTAGAGACAAAACGAGGGTTTTTTATTCAGGTATTATTGAAAAAAAATCTTTAAAAGGGGATAAACAGGAGGGGAAAGGATTGGTTGTGGTTAGGAGGGGGAAGGGGATAGGATGGGGTTGTAAAGCAAAACTTGAAAGAACACGTTATCTGCTAGAGAGGGGGGGGGGGGGGGGAATGTAGATTTTAAAAACTAATCCTTACGACTATTCTCTTCATCTTGTTGACAGCGACCTCCTGAAAAAAATGATGGTCACGTAGCAAAATTGAAAGAAGTTAAAAAAACAAAAACCCGCAAAGAAATATAACAGGGTTTTTTACACCACCGCATTCACAATTTAGATTAAATAGAAGACGGTCTTCAACCCTGCCTGTCAGGGCAAACTCGAGCTGAAAGGGAAACATCCTAGCAGAAAGACCGAGGTACTCAAAAAGAAAAAAATGTCTCCCCACTCGAGAATCAAACTCGGGTCTCATGCGTGCGATAGTGAAGCGGCTACATGCTATATACCACAGACACCGATACGCAAAAAAAACCCGATTGTGCGCGTGCAGACAAAATGAGTTACTTCTCGCAATCCACGAATCGAGATGTCGGCCGAAAATAGACTGATCAAATCTAAACTGGAGCGATTTTCTTGGACAAAAACTCACATTCATACCATACATCAAAGACCTCCGTGTGAGGTGCCAGAACATGTTTTGTATCATTTCATAAAATGGTATAATATACAAATCCATTGTGTCAGTACGCCTCAGTATTGTGTGATAAAACAGAAAGAGAAATTATTATCAGTCTTTGGGGAAATAAGAACAGGAAGAAAAAGTATGAGTCGTGGGTGATAAAATATAGTTAGAAATTATCAGTATTAGCTCTATATGATAAAACAGAAAGAACAATTATCAGCATATTGTAATAAAACATTGTGAGAAATTATCAATATTTCGTGATAAAACTTAATGAGAAAAAATATCAGTCTTATTTGGCAAAACAGAAAGTGAAATATTCAGTATTTTCTTATAAAATATATTGAGAAACAATGAACAGTCTTATCTCTTTATGAAGTGCAGTGTCTGAAAAATAAGTAGATATACGGTATTTGTGGTGCACAGGTTAGGCGTTGAAGACAGGAGTTTGATTCCCGAGTGGGGCAAACGTTTATCATCTCGTTCTTTCTGCTGAAAAGTTGTAGCGCTCTCAGCCCGGGTTGGGCCCTGACAGGCAGGGTTGGAAGCCTAAGTCCTGAACGATCTAAATTGTGTCGATGGGAGCGTAAAACGTGAGGAAAATTTACTTTACTATGGTCAATAAGTACATGTACTTTGTTCTGTCTCACCTTAACTTTTGATTTATTACAAACGCATCCGCACTCCTCCTTTTTACACACACACACACACACACACACACACACACACACACACACACACACACAGACAGACACACACAGACACACACAGACACACACAGACACACACAGACACACACAGACACACACACACAGACACACACACACACACACACACATACACTCACACACACACACACACACACACACACAAACGTACACAACCATTCATGCATACAACCACTCACGCATACAACCACAAACGCACACATATATAAACACAAAAGGACTCGTACACCTTCAAACTCACAAAAATACACACTTACATATACACCTAAACATAAACTCACTTACAAACTTGCACACACACACAGTCATACATGAACACACTTACAAACACACAGTCATACATGAACACACTTACAAACACACAGTCATACATGAACACACTTACAAACACACAGTCATACATGAACACACTTACACACACACACACACACACACACACACACACACGCACACACACACACGCACACACACACACGCACACACACACACACACACACACGCACACGCACAAACTCACACTCACAGAAACGTTCACACACAATCACACATTTTGAAAGTACTCACCATGCTCTTGATCTTGTTTAGAGCCACGTACTGGCAAAGAACAGAGACAAAATCGTTAGACAAATTGGTCGTTTTTAAGGATAGCCCCTATCCCGAAAAATGCTGTTTTGAGAAAATCGAAGTTAAAAGTTTTTTCCACTTGTTCTGTTTCTTTAAAAGACAATGAGAGTTTTCTCTATTACCAAACAAATATACACACCAATAAAACCAAAGTTATCCTATATGTAGTGCAGTGCTCACTTTCGGTGTAGATCAAGATTTCTGGAAATCCCCGAAATCTGGGCTAGCCCGCTTGTCCTTAAAATCGACCTATTATTCTTTAAGATCTCCGTCCTAAACGAAAGGGTTGTTACCCAGCATCTATGGTGCAGTAGTTCGGTGCTTCGACGTCTCACACAGAAAACCTTAGTTCAATTCCCGAATGGGGTGAGTTCTTGCCGACTACTCTTAGTCTTTCGGACCTGAATTGGCCCTGACAGACGAGGTCGTGGGTGGTTGGCAGGTGCCCTGGTGTGGTTTGCTTCTTCTTTTCTATCAAACATCTATCGTCCTTATCTCTCCTTTTTTTGTGTTTATTACTCTCTTGTAACACCTCTAATCTTCGGCACTTATATGACCTTATTGTCTTGCAAGTGCCTTAAAACACTTACTAAATCTAAACAGAAGAGGTCAACGTTTGTCTACTACATGATCTAAATACATAGTCGCTTATAAGGACCAGCGGGCTAACCCAGATTTGGGGAGTTTTCTAGAAATCTCGACCTACACCGAAAGTGGGCATTTACCTACTTGTAGGAAACGTTTGGTTTCATGGGTGGGTATATCAAATGTCGTTTGGTTATAGAGAAAACTCTCCTTGTCTTTTAAAGAAACAGAACAAGAGGCAAAAGCTTTACCTTCGATTTTCTCGAAACAGCATTTTTCGGGGTAGCCCCCTTGTGCGACCAAATAGTATTGATGGGAGAGAAAAATAAAAATTTTGCATACGAGAAAAGAACAGCAGTAAAAAAAAAAGAAGAAGAAAACTACCCAGAGCAAAAAACAAGATGAAATAATAAAAGGGGTGGGGATTGAGGTGGGGAATCCTAAAACTCACAACGCGTACTAAATTGCTGAATAAAGAAAGATCAGATAATTCAAGTGATATAGACATAATATCCACGCGATCTAGAACAAAGCCCGAGAAGATGCTTGAGAAATTTAACAAAACGTTCCAAACTTAATAACACCTTGTGACCTTTTTAGTTTATGCGTTATCGTTAAGGTTGGGCAAGTGAAAAAACAACGGTACAGTAATAAAGATTCAATTTGTGCAGAGAAGGAGGACAAAAGTCAGACAGAATCTAAAGCAGCAACAGTACTAGGAGCATGTTTCCAGTGGCGCCCTGCAGACATCAGTATCAGTTTAAACTGTGTTGAAAGAAGAGTAAAATATAACCATGTTATGCTGACGCCAGTTATATGTGATGACGTTGTGCCCCCTCCCCCCCCTCTTTTCCGTTCTGTAATGTTTAGCTTCCTCGCCTTGTGTCCAAAAGACCAAAGTTCCATTCTCGGTTAGGTGGAAGGACTTTCACCAAGCGTCTCTGTATAACTTATATAAGAGATATGTGTCACGAGGCGGTGGTATCAGGCGTTTGCCAATTTGGGGTATTTTGAGTTATTGGTCTCATCCTAAAGCTTGTTCATTTGTTTTGCTTTTAAATGGAAAAATACCTGTCTGTCTTGAAAAAAAAAAATATTTTCAATAGAAGGAGGTGGAGGTAGCCCAGTTTCAGAGGTAAAGTTAGCGAGAAAATAGCCGCCATGGTTTGATGATTTCCATTGTTAGAGAGTCTTTGAAAACTGAAAATTTACTTTTTCTGTTCCTTTAGTCCACGTTTTCAGTAAAACCCACATAGAAATGTGTTTGTAAATGGGCATAAAAGGTGTGGAGTCCCCCCTCCCCTCCCCCCCCAAAAAGTAAAAGGCGCCAAAAATGTCGGTTTCTTCGATTTTGATTATTTTGAAGAGCGCCTGATTTCACCATGATGCCACACATGTTTTTCAAGCATGGGTGCCGATGTCTATAGTGTAGAGGTTAACGGCTTCGCCTGCACGTGTAGAACACGTGAGTTCGCTTCCCATAAAAGGGGGAAGGGGGAAAAGGGGGTGGGGAAATATGCTGCATCTAATTCTGTCTGATGGTACGTCGTGACCTTTTCAGTCAGTCCGAGTTGTCTTTGACAAGAAAGGTGAAAATAGTCCTCTGCCCATTGATTTGAATACTGCCAATGGGGCCGTAAAAACATCTACAAATAACACCGCAATTTTAAAGCATGGTTTCAACGGCTCATAATATTTTCACGGACAAAATGCTTGCCCGTGTCTCAAACGATCCAAAGTGTGCCGATGGGGGCATAGAAACATCTGCAAACACCACTGGAATTTCAAAACATGGTGACAACAGCTCGTATTATTATTTCCAGGGTAAAAATAGCCCACCCTTAAATTATAATCTAAAGCGTGTTGATGGTGCCGTAATGCATTAGGCAAAATATATTATAGTATTCCATCAAGAACTGGTGTATAAAAATGTGTACTTACACGTCTCAAAATGGGGTTATCCTCGTATTCCTGCATTGAGATAAATAAACAAAAAGTATTGTATTTTAATGTGCTCCATCACCGTACTTCTCACATCAAAAGTAATATAACACCGTTGTTTTAGTAAGTGTTTTACAGCACTTGCAAAACTATAAGGTCATACAAGTGCCGTGTACAACACCGGTATATCATTATTTCTTTCCAGCCTGACTAATACAACACCATGTTCTTCGTCTCTCACAATGATCTTTACAATATCCCATTCATTTCCCCATCACAGCCTAATGCCTACAAAACTCCAACTTTTATCTCAGCTTAACTGGTTTAACCTCCCGTCCTTCATCCCCACCCACACTATATAGTAGTATCCCAGTCTTCCAGCCTCAACAATCTGCTTGACACGCCATCCTTACTCCTACCTCAATCTGATCTATACAACGTGGGTTTTTGGGGCTGCTCTGGTGTGGTTTGCTGCATCTTTCCTATCGGACGTCTATCGTCCTTATCCCCCCTCCTTTTTTTGCGTTTGTTAATCCCTTGTAACATCTCTAATCCTCGGCACTTATATTGCCTTATTGTGTTGCAAGTGCCGTAAAACTCCTGCCAAAAAAAAAACAACCAAAAAAAACGTACAAATTTCGATTTCCTTCTCATCCTAATGCATACATTATCCTATTCTCCCTCTCATCCCGATCTTTACCTCTTCTCGACCATCTTTAAATGGACATCCCAGTCTCTAGTGCGGAAGTTGCTGATCCCCGCAAATTCCCCTGGCTCACATAGAGTTTTGGGTCTCTCTGCCTAGGGCTGGGCCAACATTTCTTTCTAAACGCTTCAAGCGTTGGGCTGGTCACAATCTTTACAATTTTCACCCCCCCCCTCCCCCCAATCCCATTTCAATTATTTCAACACCCCATCCTACCCCACAACACAGCATAAACAACAACTCACTTTCCACCTCAACATAACCTAAACAATTTTCTAATTTTCACCCCACAGAATCTATCTCTCACGCCATCATTATTTTTTCCATTGTAAACACTAACAGACACCATCCCTACATCAGAGAAGATGACGGAAAGGAAAGCGAAGCGAGAGATAGAGAGAGAGAGAGAGAGAGAGAGA